TAGAAATGTACACTTGAAACCTACATAATTTTATTAACCATTGTCACCCCAATAAATTTAATTTTAAAAAAATGAAAAAAAATGACCAAGGACTTGAAAACATTTCTCCAAAGAAGATATACTAACATCCAATTAGCACATGAAAAGATCTTCAACATCACAACCATTAGGGAAATGCAAATCAAAACTACAATGAGATATCATCTCATACCCATTAGGAAAAGTACTGTCAAAAACAAACAAACAAATAACAACAACAAAAAAAACCAGTGTTGGCAAGGATGTGGAAAAACTGAAACCCTTGCACACTGCTGGTGGGAATGTAAAATGGAACAGCCACTGTGTAAAACAGTATGGAGATTCCTCAAAAATTAAAAATAGAATTGCCATATGACTCAGAAATTCTACTTCTGGTTATACTCTCAAAAGAACTGAAAGTAGGATCTCAAAAAAAATATGTGTACACCCACATTCATAGCAGCATTATTCACAAGAGCTATATATAACATGTAAGCAACCCCAAGTGTCCACTGACAAATGGATAAGCAAAATGTGGTATATATACTCACAATGAAATATTATTCAATCTTAAAAAAGAAGGAAATTCTGCACTATGCTATAACATGGATGAAATCTGAGGACATTATGCTAAGTGAAATAAGTCACTCACAAAAAGGCAAATAATGTATGATTCTACTTATACGAGGTACTCAGGATAGTCATTGTCAGAGGCAAAAAGTAGAATGGTGGTTGCCAGGGGCTGTGGGGAGAGGAAGTGGGAGCTATTTTTTAATAGGTATAGATTTTCAGTTTACAAGATGAAAGAGTTATGGGGATGAATGGTGTTAGCTGCACAACCATGTGAATGTATTTAATACAACTGACCTGTACACTTAAAAATGGTTAAGACGGTACATTTTGTTATATGTACTTTACCACAATAAAAAAAAAATGGATCATAGACTTTAAAGGAGAACTAAAACTGTAGAGCTTCTAGAATAAATCATTGTGGCCTTGGGTTAGGCAAAAAGTTATTAAATGAGCAACAAAAGCACAATCCATAAAAGAAAACAATAAACAATTTCATCAAAATTAAAAAAAAACTCTTGTGTTTCACAAGACACCATTAAGAAATAAAAAGACAAGTAACAGTCCAGGGGAGAATATTTGCAAATCATGTATTTGATGGAATACCTGTATCTAGAATGTGTAAAAAATCGTACAATAATAAGACAACATACTTAAAAATGGGTAAAATATATGAATAGACATTTCACCAAAACAGATGTAAAAATGGCTAATGAGTGCATGAAAAGATTTTCTCAACTACTAATCATTAGGGAAATGCAAATTAAAACAATAAGATACACTACATATATACTAGTATGGCTATAATCATAATGAGAAAATAACAAGTGTTGACAAGGATGTCAACTGGAACCCTCATACACTGCTGATGGGAACGGTAAGTGGTATAGCCACTTTGGAAAACAGCTTGACAGACTCTTAAAAAGTTAAACATAAATTACCCTACAACTCAGCAATTTCACTTTTAAGCATCCACCTAAGAGAAAGGAAAACATATCCACACAAAGAATGATCAAATGTTCATAGCAAATGTCCATTAACTAGTGAATAAATATCATTTATATAATGGAATGCTATTCAGCAATAAAGTGAGATGAACTACTGACACATGCTGTAATAACATGGATAAAGTTCAAAAATATTATGCTAAGTGAAAGAAGTCAGATACAAAAGGATACATATTGAATGAGTCCACTCGGATTATCAGAAAAGGCAAACTACAGAGACACAAAGCAGACCACTGGTTGCCAGGGGCTGGGAGTATAAACTGACTACAAATGGAAATGAGGGAACTTTTGGGGATGATAGAAATGTTCTAAATCTAGATGATGGTTATGGTTGCACAGTTCTTTAAATTTACCAAATTACTGAATTATATACCTAATGATGGATTTTATGGCATACAAATTATAACTCAAAGCTGTTTTTTTTTTAAAGGACACCCATGATCCCACTATTTTACCTAAAAACTAGGACATTACCTATGCCTTGTGCCCTCCAAAGAGGTAACTGTTAACACAAATTTAGTGTTTATNAGAAGGAAACAAAACCATGGAGCCTGGCCACCTCCCCTCACCTCCCAGAACTAGTGGCAGGCCCCAGAAGAAGCTGTAGCAGTGAGAGTCCGGCTACACAGCAAACTATCTGCAGCTCTAAGAACTATAGAGACAGGAGTATTCCTCCCTGAGTGACAGATGCACACTGCAGCTAATCCCAGTGACAGGGGTAAAGATACAGAGGTGAGGCAGCTGCGGTTTGGCAGTCATCATGACTGGGAGTGGAACAAAGTCTGAAACGCAGGAGCTGGCCTCTCCCAGCCCACCACACCCCAACCCATGGCAGGTGATCCTAGTGGGGGTACCTGATATACCTCTAGCAGCATCTGGTTGCAGGGGGCAGCACTGTGATTTCACAGGCTCAGAGCCCCACTGCGCACATTCCCCCAGGAGGGTGATGCCTAGAAACAGAGGTGACCTGGTCACTGAGGAGACATCTGCTTCCCCAGGGAATGCAAGGCATTTTCTACCACCCTGCAGAGACCTTAGAAGCCAGAGCAACACAAGAGAAAATAAACTTGCACTTTGGTATCACCTGCTGGAAAACAGAAGAAAGCCCACTTCTTATAAACCTAAATAGAGGTATCATGCTTAAAATAAAATGCAGATTTCATTCCCATAAATGCCTAGGCAGAGAAATAATCCATCAAATACCATTAACACCAAGATAACAAGATAACTCAGAAAGAAAATGAAAAATCTGCTGAAAACAAACTTAAAGACATGAAAATATATAATTTAAATGACAGAGAATCCAAGATTGCAGTTCTGAAAAAACTCAATGATACAAGAAAATTGAGACAGTTTAATAAAATCAGAAATAAAATCAATGAACAAAAGGAGTCCTTACCAAAGAGACTGAAACTTTAAAGAAGAACC